TTTTTTTTTTTTTTTTTTACGGGGGGAAATTAGTTCATAATATAATATTTAAAAACAATTATATTCCACATTTAATGACATTCGATTGAAGATTATGACCAAAAACATTGAATTGCCATTGCAAAGTGCTGCCTTTTCCAATGAGGTCCACAGAGGCTGAATTTGACACAATAATGGCCCTGAAAGACCTCAAGCTCACCTGCATGGCTGTGGAATGGAGACTGAATTCTGGACGGCGAGAGCCACGCTGTCACCCTTCTGAAAAATCAAGTCATACGGTCCCTCCAGCATCATCATGCAGTACAGCACACAACCTAGAGACTAGAGCAGAAAATACAAAGCTTACCTACAGCAGACATAACAGACTGGCACAGACATAACATTATGCTGATCTGAAGGAGTAGAGATATGAAAGGACGAAGTTTGCTAACATTAGCCCTGCGCAGACAAAACTGAACACATTGAACAGCAATAAAACAACACGTCATGGGTTGGTGCAGAATTCTGTAATGCGTGTTTTTTTTGAGAAAGAAGAGCTGGATCTGTAAAAACACACACAACAAAGAGAATTACCCAAATATCTGTTCTCTCATCAATGATACAGTGACTCTCCACATTAAAGAGCTCCGGTGCTCTGTAGGAGATGGTGCACCTCTGAGCGGCCCAATCCTGAAAGAGGAAGTGTACAAACATGATTCATTTAATGCTTTGATTCCCTGCTGATAATTTTTTGATAAATGCCGCTGAACGATTTTCTGATCTAACCTGGACCGTCATGGCCTCCCGTGACCCTCGAACTTCAATCCTGGCCTTGTTCATGGAGCCCAAGTCCATTAAAAAAGGACGATCGTTCTCATCTAGTAAAACGTTGGTGGGTTTCAAGTCCCTGTTTTCAGAAATACAGCTCATGTTAGAGTAATAATACCAACAGGAACTAACAAACCGATATCACAGTGGCATTATTGAGTCTAAAACTGATTCATCAGTAACACTACATTAAAATGTGATATATAGTATGCAAAACGCATAGTTCTAGCAATAAAATCAGATTCAATTATTAAAAATTGCTTTCTCTATTGAAATACAGCTGATATATAATAAAATCTAAACATTAGTTGAGAAATGTTGCCTTGGCAATTATCTGAAATAGAACAAAATTTGAATGCCAAAAGCGCATAACAAAATTAGTAATATTGAAAATGAATGAAAAACAAAATATATAATTCAAAATATTGTATTATTAATAAACACTATAATAGTATATATATATATATATATATATATATATATATATAGTG